TGTTATGAAAAATTAAATAGGCATAAATCATGCTAATGGCGCATTCAAAAAATTTATTATGCTTTAAACCCCGCATGCGAGCATCAATTTATTTATGTATTCGCAATTATGCGTGGACCACCCGTTCATGGGGTGGATTGCGATGACAGCCGATTGAGTCATAGTTTAATCAAAAAGAGCCCTTCCAAGTGCTGTTCCTCCATTTCAATGGCAATTAGTTGATTGAAATGAAAGCACATAATTAGATGACTTTAGGGTTTAGTTAATGCATTTCTTTTAAAGGTCATTTAATTTCTTACAACTTTGAGCACTATGTGTTATTTTTATAGAGTATATATATATATATATATATATATATATATTCATAGTGTAGAGTTAATTGATTTCAGATTAATTTTATTTTACTAAGGCGAATTCAATTTGTCGGAGTTTAAAAAATATTTAGTTTTTCATATGCATTTAAATTTAAAAAATATTTTTTTTAATTATCGAAAAAATTATATTAATCTTCCTTGGTTAATGAAATATTTTTTAAATTAAATCTTTAAATTGTGCTTTATTTTAATCGCATTTTATTTTCTATATTTTTTAGTTAAAATCATTTTTTAAATTAAAAAGCATTTTAATCGAAATTCTATTTATTTTATTGAGAATATAATTTTTATAAAGAATATAAATATCTCTCTACTCTAAGAATTTGATTTAATTGGGTTTAGTTTTTCTAAGCATTATAATATCCTTAAGTTATGTTAAATACAATTTATGATAAATATAAACTAATACAAAGTTAATTTGGAATATGAAACCTGGCAGCAGAAATCATAGTCTTGCAGTGCATAGCTAATTTAAGCCCAAAGCCAGCAGCTAACGACTCGCAAACAATGCCTGAGCGTGAATAATTTGGCGGGTGGGCGTTGTTTGGGTGTGGGCGGATGGGGCTGGCTGACGGTATACCTCGTGGCTTTATGTATATTTAAGCCGGGACAACGGCGACCCACATAATGCAAATTGCTTTTATAATTTGCACAGCAGCGACAAGCGAGAACGTTGTCATTCATCAGCCTTACGAAGGACACGGAACGACGCGGATTTTCGGGTTTTTAGACAAATTTCCAAGGATTAAAAGCAGCAGCAGAGCTTGGCTTGCACTTTTGCTTGCTGCTGCTGCTGCTGCTGCCGTTTGTGTTGCATGCCACGCAACGTTGCAAATGCGTTGCAACATTCTCGAAGCGCTAGTTTATTCTATTTATTATGTCTGCGTTTATCTCCTTTTGCTTATTTTCATTGCCAAAAATATTTCAAGTGGGTTTCAGCAGCAGCATTTTATTTGCTTTTAGGATTTCCTCTTTCGTTCAAACGTTCACTGCAAATTTCTCATACACGCCACAGCCACACAGCTATAGCAATAGCTGCAGCAACGGATACAGATACAGATACATATGCACTCGCTGCTGCAGTTACAGGAAGCAAGCGTTGGCATTGAATGCGCCCAGTGGTGTCTGTCAGTAGTTTTCGGCCGGATTTGCCGAGCTGATGCTGAATGTAGAGTATCGCCCAAACGGATATATTAGCTACTAAGTGGAACAGCTTAGGCATTTATAAGCGAAATATTCAAAGAAAAGGCGTTGGGCAATAACATTTTTGGTAAAGAAATATGCAATAATATAACTGAAATTTTAAAAAAACTGTACTTCAGCTCAGATATTTTTAAGGTATTTAATTTATATATTTAAAATAGGAATTAAAAATTACAATTATGAAATTTACATATTTTTAAAAATCCTAATGCAGCTACAGCATATAGAAAGATTCCACCTTAAAGTTTAATGACTGCCATAACGCATTTTTACCTACCTTAAACATAAATAAATGACGAAATGTTATGAAACAAAACCCATAATATTTTTTATATTTTAACATTTTTTTCTATAATGATGAATATTCCGAGATAAATCATATAAAATATTAACAAAAATAAAATAAATGCCATTGATTGCTCATTTTATAAATTCACTGTTTTTCTTTATCTTCAAATTAATTTATTTTATATAATTAAAAGAAATTCAAATAAAATATTTGTTATGAACTAAAAACCCAGTTTTTAAATTCTGATCTTTGTTATTTTATATTAAGGCCACACACAGATCCAAGATAAATTATCTTTCCATTTAGTTTGTTTTTAATTTTACTAAAATTTTTCTAGTGCATTTGCTAGTCGATTGTTTTGTGCATCGAATCAATCTTAGTCGCCTCTATTTGTGCCTTTGTTTCCACGTTGTTTTTGGCCTTTGCCCACCTATCGTGGCATTGTTGTTTACATGTTCATTCGCGGGATTTTTCACTTGAAATTGGAAAGTCGACAACGACGTTTTTCGTTGGCCCACACAAACACACACAAAGAGTTAAGTCCCCACATGAAGCATGGCCAAGGCTACATCTACATATGTATGTGTGTGCCTCTGTCTGTGTCTGAGTGTATCTGAATGTGTATTTGTAGCTGTGTCTATGGCTACAGGGCGAGAGAGTTGGGGTCGCTTATTGTTTGGCCAGCATTGTAGCATTAAATGAAGTTTTTGGCTTTGGTTCGGTCCGTCTTCCGTCTTCCGTTTTGCGGTTTTGGCGTGCATTAAGCTTGTTATAGCTTTAATTTAGAGCCATGCTTGCGAAATCGCATCAACGCAGCTGGAGATCGTTAAATAATTCATGTCAGGCTCGCCAAGCAAAGCAAAAAAAAACAAGGGATAAGGAAAAAGAAAAGACGCAATGAAAGCCAAATTAAGCAGTTGCAAACGTTTAGCCCGGAAAGCAGAGAACGCAGCTGGGCGCCCAGGAGGACGCAGCTGATTTACGGTGCAATAATTTTCATCTCATTTTCATTACATTTGGGCTTAGCTCCAGAAGGATGTGCCGCTCGTTATCCGCGCACCAAGGTGACTAGGTGTGCGAGCCTTTGCCCTATGCGTCCTCTTTAACTCGTATGCTATTTATCATTTAGCCAAGTGCTTATACATAAGTTCAAATGCTGTTTGGGGCTGGGTAGGCCAATAGGCCTGACTAGAGCTAGACAGCTGCACAGTTTCCACATAAAAAGTCTTTTTGAATTTCTTTTTTTTCGCCCCGTTTCGAGTGCCTTTGGAGCTGTGCAAAAAGGATCAACAAGGCACTCAACGAGAGCGGCGACAGGAACGATTGCAATTGCAAAAGGCAGCGGCTGTGACACTTCACAGCGTCGACAGCCTTTACATCAATTACCGCACAGGTGGGCAACAGGTGGCAGACAGCGCAGCGCACAGAACAAATATTATCATGTTAAACAGAATGTCCATGTCTACAGCTATTATTGTTGCGTGTGCTGTTGAATGGAGCAGGGTTTCTTAAAGAGTGCCAAGTAAACTTGAATGTTAGTTAAGGTTAAGCTATGCTCTGCTGAACTGCTGCACCTCAAACGCAATCTGTAAATTAGGCAATGTCAACTAGGTACATCATACGAATTCCATACATATAATTAACTTTCATAGTAAAAGAAAATTTATTTATTACAAAGGTTCGACAACACTCGAAAACTGAAAGCTGTTACCATAGTTTTATTAAAAAGATTCTACAGAAAAGGAGAAATTAAATTACATTATAAAGACTTCAGAAATACAGCAATTATTATATATATATATTATATGTATAGCATATGTATGTATATTATATGCAAGATTTAAGATTGGAACTGCGCTCATTCACTCCGTTTTCTATTTATCCTCACATACTTCATTCGCTCTTTTGCGCATTGTCGTAGGCTCAAGCTTATTACTTATAAATTATTGCTGAAGCTGTGCTCGACAGCTCTCCAAGATACTAAATTGGCTATATTGTATAGTAGCGGACTGCACGACAGCCAGAGTCGCTTTTAGTAAGAATTCTGCAAACTCAATGCGAACAACAAATGCAAATATATATTTTCTTAAATTTCCTTGAACAACAAATGTGACAAAGCTACGCATATCTATTAAAAATATATATATATATCTATTAAAAATATATAACATCTTTATAGTAATCAGAATATGAATTAATTTTAAAGATTCTATGCTCTGTAGCACCTCGCAACAGATTACATTGTATCCAACACACAAATTATAATACCAAAAATAAAACAAAAAAAACAAACACGGCTCAGAGGATGACTCATTTATCCATTATTTCGAATTAGAATTAAATCGAATTAGAAATTGAAGCTGCTTGAGGAATAAGGAAATTATAGATCATTTAAAAATATATAAAAGAAAAATATATTAATATAATATAAGAAATAAACTTGCCGTGATAGACAACTTTATACTTTCTTTTGACAACTTACCTACAACATATAAAAAGAAAAGCATCCAATACGCAAATCAGTAATATACCAGGTTAGATGTCCGCAGCCACAGCATGTGACTTTCTTGTTCCCAAAACTGCAGACGGCTAAAAAAGGACGTCGTTAAGCTATAATTGAGGAGATTAAGACGGCAATCACAAGAAATTATTTTTATATGCCTCAAGAATACAAATTGGAAAAAAACATGATCACAATTCTATATCCGATAAATAAATTAAATTTGTAAAGAACACAAAACTCGCGATACTTTTTGAGCTAAACTGTTCAGCAACAAAATTGCAAAAAAAAAATTTATTTAAAAAAATTCTAATTTTTTTTTTGTTCCTCTCTTTGGAAGTATAAATGTTCAACTGAATGTGTAAGCCAAACTCGTTGTATGCTTTAGCCTGACAGTCTTTGCTCGGATATACAGATTGACAGTTCTCAAAATTTGGCCGCACTTTCTCTCAAAGTGTGGCAGGCATAACTAGGCAGCTCGCGCAGTCTGGCAACGCTGGCGCTAAGAACTGATTGCAACTTTAATAGAAGCATTTCCTTTTGATAAATTTTTCATAATTTTAGATTGCATTTGCTAATTGAAGTTTTGGCAGAGCAACTATCGAATGTATGCATATATCGCTTAGTTAAGTGTCATCACTAGCTCTGCAAACTGTGAAAGCTGTCAACGTTCAATTGCTTCGATTGAATTTAAAACTTACAAAATTTCTGTGAGCTCAAGTTATATACAGCAATCCAAATATCACTCGAGCTCAATACAATTCAACATGTTTCTCGATGCTTATGGCGCGCCCAAAGATGTGACACCCGACAACCTGCACGACTATACATACGATTTGGTAAGCTTGCAGTAAACTAAGCTAGTTTATTATGCATAGTCATGCGGTTTTCAGCATGGCGTCATGCTGCTGACATCGGCCGACTATGAGCTCTTCATACCGCCACGCTGGCATGGCACTATCTATAGCACCGAGGAGCTGTTGGATAGCTATCGCAAGCGCTTCAAGGTATTTCTGTGAGCTATCGTATGGCGTTTAGGTTTTTGGTATGTTCCATTCTTTTAGCCCGACTCAGCGCTGTTGACATTTCACGCCATGGAACCGTACGAGCCGGAGCTCATCTGCTGCGAGCGTTGTGTGGTTGAGATCACGGCACTGCCTGCTGGCCAAACGCTGTACAGCAGCTCGGAAATCGTCGTGTTTCTGGTCAAAATCTATGAGGTGAATACGCTGATCACCAAAGAGCTGGGCACCGAGCTCAACTTCTTCCCCAGCAACCATCACTACCATGTTCGCATCATGAACGAGGGCATCGACATACTCTATGTGGACGACAAAATCTACACTGGACAGGTGGGCTCTGGCGTCAGCTATCAGCATCAGTGCGTCCAGAATCTGTTGAAGAAACTGCAGCCGTTGGGCGTGAAAAGCCTCTCGGGCAAGCCGCTGCCGGACCAGCTGCTCGGCATGTGCCGCAAAGTCGAGCCCGCTGCCAAAAAATCGTAACGCCCTCAAACACTGAATAAAATTGATTCTCTATCAATGCATAGCGTTTGTGCTCGAACAATCTGATGGCGGCACATTAGTTGCAGTTGGCTGAACGAATTGGCGCCGGGCACTCCATAGATTTTCATAGTTCTCATGTAGGAAATCGCCTCAATATCGCTTAACTATGAAAGTGTTGAATATGCTCTAATAATTTGTAGTTCAAATTTATAGATTTTACTTTTCAATTGATAAAAAACATGTGCAAAATCTAATACTTTATTATTTTGTATAATTATATAATTCTTTATAATTCTCCTTTGGGAATTCGCTGTCATTTCGCTAACTTCACAATCTGTGGGTGAAGCCTTAACCTTTCAACAGAGCCGCCTCGAATGAGATGTTCATCTCAGAGATTTGCAAACTACTGACATTTTTATTAATATTTATCTGCTCTTTTATTCGCTTTTCTTATAAATAGGGTTTCAACTAATCTGCCTTACGATTTGTCCAGATTTCTTTTTCTTGCTTTAATTTTTTTCTATTTAAAAATATTTATAGCTTTTTCGTTGTCATTTACCTCAATTATATTTTTCGACTTTTTTTCACATTTTTTGGTTATGTTTGGTTATTCATTGCTCTCTAGAATAGCTGATTGAAAAGTCATGAAAATATTTTTAAAAATTGCTTTAAAACTGTTACTGATTGAATATTCAATCGATGATATGCACAATTTTAATTTATAGTAATTTATACATATTTTTATGAATATTTAATGCTATGATTTTCTCTTTTTTCTTCTCCAGACTTGACTAAATATAAACTATTTCTTTACAAACTCAGATTCCATTCATTAATACATCGAAGCTGTGCAAAATGATGTATGAAAGCGTGAAATAGTTAGAATAGAAGCACTACATTCTTAAAACATCTATACATAATTTTGCATAAAGTATTTATATTATTTATAATATTTATTAAAATTTATTATAAACAAATTTTTAGCACTAGTTTTGTAAAATTACAAGCAAATTTCTTGTACATAAATTCATGAAAATTTGAGCCCTTTTTCATAAACATAAAACCCTTCAAATATTTAATTTAATATTCTACTGTAAATCAACAAGTTTTGCGCATATTTCCCATTTCGGGAATACTTGTCAAGAATTCATAACATTTCACACTATTGTCCAAGCTATGCAAAGTGTGTAAGTTTGGCCCTTTAAAGTTCCGCCCAGATTAGTATTCATAACAAAATGTCATATATATGTATTATATATTTATATACTTATATATTTGGCTGTGCTGTGGCAAATCCCTGGGGCAACCCGCTGCGTGACATCTTTGGTTTCATTTTGTTTTTTGGCTGGCCCAAAAATAATCTTCTTTTGGTCTTTTCAATGCGGCCTTTGGCTATTTTATGGCTTTGCAATCGTTCTGCAACTGTGCCTGGAATATCTAATGGATGCGTGCAACTAATTGAGTTGCTACTCCTTGCTCCGCCTGGCTGGCAAAAGGATTTGCTTGCGCTATTGTGGATTCATGTTTGCATTTCGAACGAAACCTTTTTACATAAATTCAGTTTTGGTCAAAATAGCTTAGTCTTTAATGGCATTAGAATAAGCTTGGAAGGGCGAAAAAATAACATATTAAGAGATTCAAAAGTCATTTCGAAATGAATGCAAATAGCAAAAAGCTAACCGGAGGGTTTGAGCAGAAATAAAAAATTGTTTTTTATGCAAGTTTTACAGCACTGTTTGTACAAAGTTATCGAAAGCGAATATCGATGCGGGTTGGTCTGTGGAGGGAACTCGAAGATAGTAGGATAAGAAGTCAGTGTGAAATAAAAAGTAGCTTTTATGCGAGTTTTACAACACTGCAAAAATAAGAAAAGCAAATATGTAACTGGAGCAAGCAAAATGACTAAACTACTCCCAAATTATCTTCATATTACAATCTACATTGACTTTAGTAAGATAAAATAAACCTGACAGTTCGATCGATAACTCGATAACTTATAATATGGATAATTGAGTTATCCATATATTAAATTAAGGTATTATCAACCAACTCGTTATTGAACGAGTTCAGTTCAGTTAGGCAATCGGAATTAAGAGAAGACCAAACACAAGTGACACTATTATCGATTTCTATATTTTAGCAACTACTCAAGCTATCGATATCTTTTCCTTGCTAAAGTATTTGACAGCATTTGCCATTTGATCCAGTAGTATTGTCACAGACTACAATCTATAAGAGACAGGTAAGTAACAATCTTTAAGCTGCTCGCTGCATCCTTGTACAATTGAGCTCTCAAGTTCGCTGCTGTGTAGCTCATAAATTTGTACAGCACATACTCGTATGACAACTTAAGTGCGGTCAATGTTTGGGGTGCCGTGCCATTAGGAAAACAATTACAGACCACGACCACTGACAGCCACAAAAGCAGTGCGTGAATGTTGTTAGCAGAGGCCGGCCACACTCTGTCCACCCGATGTATACCCGGAGATATGTTTGCGTCGTCGTCCTGGTCGTCCTTTACAGTGCGAAGATAACATTGAGCGCGTTGCCCCGGCTCGGGTCATAAATTACGAATATGTCGTCGCTGGTTGCTGCCGCCGTAGCTGACGCTCGGCTGTGTCTATTAGCAGCCTTAGAATGTCCGAGTTTGACAGTGCTTAGGCTTAGTTTTGGGGTTTTGCTGCTGAGCCTCGAGCCTCGAGTCTCGAGCCTTGGACCTGGAACCCGTTTGTTCTTGCCAAAAGGGGGAGCTCGTTTATCAAGTGCAGCCAGCCGCGACAGCTGCCCGGACATCCCACCCTTACTCGCTCCTCCTCCGCCATGCAGGACATTGCTTAAACGGATTTTAAAGCAATGCTTGAGTTGTGATTGTGGATTAGAATGCTATATCCGGTGACATTTAGCAGACAGGCAGGACATATTAAGTTTTTGCGCTTCTTTCGCTTGGCCGTTAGTGGCAAAGTATATCTTTGATATCTGTGAATAGTTTTATATTTTTTTCTTAAATTCCTTTCGACTGTGACCTGAGTTAAGTGAGAGGGAGACGGCAGCTACAGTCAGGTATGGTTCTATAAACTTCGTAAAAATAGCTGAAAAATATGTAAAAAATGATTTAGTGCGGGAGTGCTCGACTAGAAGATACCTCGAATATACATTTTTAGGGAATTTTGTGCATCATGAGTGTTAACTTATTTTAATATATATTTTTTATGATTTATTTGGAATAAAGCTTTGTCTTGTCTTTGTGTAAGTGAAGATAAATTTTAAGGCTTTTGTTCTTTCCATTGCTGAACTAATTTCGCTTGCAGTTCTTGCCTTTCTATCTAACTAAATTGCTCATTGAAATAATATAAGAGCTAAGAAAAAAAAGATGGCATTAGTTACATGAGTAAAGGATGAAATGCTTTCCATTCTCTATGCAATTTATTTCTCTTAGTGTAAGCTTCTAGAATATGCTTAAAAAATATTTAAATTCTTGAAGCTACAAATGTTTCTTAACTTTTACTATATTAGACTTATTTTATAATCAATTTCGTAAGCTTAGAAATTTTTGAATATTTTTTTAAAAATATATTAGAGTGGAGCAACAAGTCTATAGAGGACAGATGTTTATATAAATTCTAAGGGCAAGGTAGAATTACCATAACTTTTCATAATGTGATCAATCAAGAGTTTTGACTAGAATAAAGCAGGCTCAGTGAAGCAGGCTCATTCAAATCACCGACTTCATCTGCTGCAAAAGAAGTCTTTAACTTCTTTACGCCCTGTGAAAACTTTTCAATGAATACATTGACTCAATACGAAATAGTTGTCATGCTGCGTGTCTTGCTTATCTCCATTGCCTTTGAAATCAATGGCCAGTAATTACCTTAAACAATTTAAATAGCTTTGACTGGTCGCCGCTTCGCCACGCCTGTCAGGCCCATCTCAGGGCAGTTGGTTCACATAAGATTAGCTCAGCTCGTGGTTAGGCGGGGCTCGACAAATAAATTCTAATGCTCAAACATAAATTATACAAAGTGGAGACGGAGTAGGAGTTTCAGTTGTGCGCTCACGTAACGCATTGGTCCGGGCGTCACATGTGTGTCTAAGTGATTTTCAATAAGTTGGCAACAGTTGGAGTTGGAGTTGGAGTTGGAGTTGGAGTTGGGCGCGGGGGTCGAAAGTTTTTGGTGGCACGATTTTTCACAGCTACAGATGTCTATATATTCGTGCGGCAGGCCATACGCAGAAAGTGGCATAATTTATGGCCTCGTCCAGTGGAGGGGGAGTGGCAGTCGGAGTGGGCGGAGGGACATGTGTGTCGATTCTAGCGAATTTTCGCAAGCGTCAATAATGACGAGCGATTTCTCATAGCCAATGCCAACCGTGGCTGGCGCTCATTTCGCCCAAGCACCAGCCATTTGCAGCAGCTGCGACCTTTGATATCCGCAGCCAAATTCCCACACAGCAGCGCTGCCACGTCCATGCTACAGCTTCTATTCCTGTTTCTGTCCCCGTCACGAGGCACGTAAAAACAAACTTGATTCTCGGCCATCAAAAACGCCATCAGTCTTCTCGATGTCTGACAAATGTTTTCTTTGACTTTCCCCGCCCACTCGACTGCAAATCGGAGACGTGCTCGCTCGATTTTCATTTCGTCTCATATTTTTCTATGAAATTATTTTTTAATCACAGTTCAGATGTCGCCCAAGACAAGTTTGGCTCGCTAAGCGTAAATCAATATACGAAATTAAGTTATATATATTAATAACAATATTACATTTGATAAAAGACTGGACATGTTCTCCTTGCTCGCTTTTTGTTCTCTATAGGCACAAAATTGATTTATTTATCATTCTAGTTCTTATAGTTCTTAGAACTAGAGATCTATATTCCATATTCACTTTTTTTATCGCATGCAGAAATGTGAATTTAGTTGCTCTTCATGTTTATTTTTTAAGTAATTTATTTTACTATTCAATTGGATTTTATAAGATTTTTTATTTATCAAATTTTTGAAGTTGTCTTCCTGCCTGAGGCTGTCCTCCATGTTTAGTTTATAGTGAACTTATCAATTTACAATAAATTATAGGGTATATAGGGTACGTATTGTTACTTATCTATTCTAAAACTGAACTCCAAAATAATACAATAATAGACTTATTTGGGCACATTTTGTGACGTTTGTAAACAAAATTTCTTTAAAATAAAATTTGAATTTTTTTAAATATATTATTTATATATTTGATCAAAAATTA